CGGAGGCAGGACTATGTGTTTGCACAGCGCGGGCTGGCGGGACCCTCAGGATATTGCAATATCAGTGTGAAACAATTGTTACTACTGGAAAGCAAATGCAAAAGTCTTGTGACTTGTGAAATGTAGTTGCCTTGATTTATTTTGATATTTTCCAGAAAGTTTTTTTGTGAAAGCATTTACATTGCTCTAGTTTCTCCAACCAGTTGTGAAACTCTGTCCTCTGAAAATCTTTTCTCCCTTAACATGGAAAAGTTTCTGATGAATTAAAATACTTCCCAAGACCTTACAGAACACAGCGTTGCTGGCTTTAAAAAAGGGTTGGTTTTTTTTTACACAGAGATGATTTTGAGCTTTACCTGTTTGGAAACTAAAAGCGCCAGAATGTGTTCTGCTGTGTTATACAGCAGCTTTGTGCAAATTTGGCCAGGCAAACTGTGCCCACTGAGGAATGCTGTGAGGTCCGAGGCCATTCCTGCCACGCTGGGCAGGGCAGGGCTGAGTTCAGAGCGCACAAAGCGGCTGATGTGTCCGATGGCACTGTTTCTAGAGAGCCATACCAGACTGGGTTTTGTCAAGAGTCAACAGTGACAGTCAACAATGTCTCCTCACCCTCATGAGATTTCTGGAAGGAAGCGAGTGAAGCTGCTGGTCTTCAGACGGAGGTGTTGCTGGATGTAAACAGGTAAGCAGCAGCACTGTCTGGTTGGTCCCACTGCTGTCAGGTGTTGCACCGTGAAGCAATCCGAGGACCTGCTTTGAACGGGGCTGATCCTCACCGCACGAGGAATGGCTTTATGAAGGCTGTGCTTTGTGCTCCTGCTTGGGTCACAACCAAACACGCCGCTGTGTCTGCTCTGAGCCCATCCCACATTTGGGGCCTGCTGCTCTCTGAAGTCTTCGCTGCTTCAGAGCAGCCCCTCAGCTTTTCTAAGTCTAGACCCATAATTAGATGAAAAGCAGTTAAATAAAACATTGGTCTTCAAATTCTTAGAGGGGGGAAAAAAAAAAGGAAGGGAAGATGTTCAAAACCCGCCTGGATGCGTTCTTGTGTGATCTAATCTAGGTGGTCCTGCTCAGGCAGGGGGATTGGACTAGATGATCTTTTGAGTCCCTTCCAATCCCTAACATTCTGTGATTCTGCATGAAATACTGTGCTAGATATTCCTTCTGTCTTCGTATGGAAACAAAAATACGTTCTAAAATTCATATAGACAGATACTTTGCAGTTCTGAGCTCCGTGGTATTTTGACAGTAGATTCAATTATTTAAACTGAATGGTACTTGTTTAATCCAGCTTTCAGCTTTTTAAAATGCTTCTTACTTTCAGAAGTTATTTATTAAAATAAACTTCGTGTATTTACCAGACAGGAAATGCAATTTTTTGTGTGTACATATTTAAGAGAAGCTGATTGTTGATTTGACTGCTTCTGTTATGTGCAGTTCTGTGAAATCCATAAAAATGTAAGAAAGAGCGAATAATTTACCTGTTTTGAACTTGTTACTTAATTATGAATACTAACAGATTTGTGCGTGTTGGTTGTTTCAGCGCTGTCATTAAATTGTTCTGTGCGTTTAACATTCCTACAGATACATATCATTTGAAATGCAGCAACGAGCTGTTGCCAGCAATATCAGCTGCTCCTTGCCAGTGTAAGCACCTTTAACATATGGTCTACCAAGCCCTGTTTAAAATACAGCCTAAAGTGTTAGTGCCAATACTGTCTCGTTGTTTAGCATAGCAGTAAGTAAATTGTCAGCAATTGCTGTATGATCATAATTCATCTGGCATTACCCTTGACTAAAAAAAATTGTATGTGTAGCCTTAATCTCACTGGAGAATTATCCTTGATTGACTGCTGCACCAGTATGGAGCTCCAGTGAAGCCAGCCACACTCCAGTGCACCCTGTGTTATAGGTGATTGAAAGGCCTAGCAGGGAAAGGGAAAAAAATCTGTACAATACCGATTATTTCATTATCAGGACAATGAACTCCTGGAGAGAAGAGAGCTGCAGATGTCAGGTTATTTCATTTTCCAGGTAATGTGACCGTTACTGCATCACCGCAAACACTATGTGTGGTGCTTGACCATTCCTGAAGAACGAGAGGCTAAAAAGTAGCAACGTGTGAGGATGAAGTTAGTTTCTTAGAGAGTTTGCGATGCTGATTGTCCTTATCTGTAATAGAGAGAATGGACAAGAATGTTGCCGCAGTTAACACGGAAGCATGTCATCTTGTAAGAGAGAGATCTGTTGTGGCCAGAGCTCTTTAGGAGGCTTGAAAAATCGAGTGGTTCTGCAAACAGAATTACTGTGGAAATTCATAGCAACCCAGTGTAGGTGAGGACTACAAGGTCAGATCTCTTAGTAAATAAATACTGTGTCAAAATCATTAAAACGCTGAAGCTTTCAGAGCACTTTACTGTCTTGTACCAGTTGGTGACATTTACACCTTTGCAGGGGAGCTGCTGTAGCAGGACCTTGATGTGACAGCCTTTGAAACCCGCTTCGTGAGCAAGGGTGCAGTGTGAAGTGACCTGACAGTCGCATGCTGAAATACACAAGTCGCTTTCTACATTTTATCGATCTTCCTCTTTTCTGGAGAAGAACATTTACTATTAAAAAATACTAATATGTGATTGAAACGACAGAAAGATTGCCTTTGATTTAAAGGCTGTGTACATGAATTGCATAGCAGTAAAAATGTTTCAGCCCTAACAAGATCTGACATGGGAATCTTCAAAAGCTCTGATTCCAGCAGTGCTCAGAGTTGCTTCCCTTGCTGTTTTGTTGCTGAATCATTTTGACAGCGTGAGGAACAGCATCTAAACACTACTATATGGCAGAGAGCCGAACTGCTAAGCTATATGAGCCACTTCGTTAGGCGGCTGAGTAATGCAAAGGCAGAGCAGCCTGAAAAGCAGCTGTAAATTTATGATCAGTTGTAGATGTAAAGGTACATCTTGAGGCATCTGCAGTTCTTAACAACTTGTAAAAGGAGGTAACTTCGGATGCTACTATGAAATGCTGGAAATATTGCTGCTGGGAGGCTGGGGCTGCAAGGTATGATTTTCTTGGCTCTTGTATAGCTTAACAGTGGCTCAGGTTGCACACTATGTCTCAAATTTAGAGCAGGCCAAATTCTAGCCAAGTGAAGCAACGGTGGGGGAGATTGCACTGGGGTTATGGTATATTCTGGTTCTGGAGGGGGCGTGTGTGTGTGTGCTTGGCTCTGTCAGCATGTTTATTGATGTCAGGCCAGTCTGTAGATAGCACAGACCTGATAGCAGCTCCCATTTGCCAAGGCAGACGAGGAATGTTTAGCACAAGTAAATAAGTGTGGCTGCTCCTGCGGTAAGACTACTGCTTGGCATCTCTCATTGCAAGCAAATTATAGAATCATAGAATGGTTAGGGTCGGAAGGGACCTTAAAGTTCATCTAGTTCCAACCCCCCTGCCATGGGCAGGGAAACCCTCCAATACACCAGGTTGCCCAAAGCCTCATCCAACCTGGCCTTGAACACTTCCAGGGACGGGGCATCTACAACTTCTCTGGGCAACCTGTTCCAGTGCCTCACCACCCTCTGAGTGAAAAATTTCTTCCTTATATCTAATCTAAATCCGCCCTCTTTCAGTTTAAAGCCGTTGCCCCTTGTCCTGTCACTACATGCCCTTGTAAAAAGTCCCTCTCCAGCTTTCCTGTAGTCCCTCTTTAAGTACTGGAAA